GTCGAGGAGATGCGCGAGGGCATGGAGGGGAGTGGCCCCCGCGGCGGAAAGGGCGGCGGCAGTCGTTGCAAAAAGGCCGGGCAAAGCTCGCGTGGCAGATGTTCGGTAGGTTGGAGAGGTGGAGGGAGAGGGAAGTTGTGGTGAAGAAGTTTTTGGGCGGCGTGGAGTGGAGGGCGGAGCGGCTGAGGCAGGAGGAGAAGGGCGGGCTGGACGTGTGAGGGGGAAGTTGGGAACAATGTCTGGGAAGGGTGCTGACGGAAGGTGATGGAAAATAAGCTATGCTTTTAGTCAGAGCTTGATGGAGCCCCGTCTTATTTGTTCCATTGTTTTGAAACAAGCTGGAATTCTAACATTTTTGTCGGGGCAATTAAACAGCACTCAGGCTCACTTCTTGTCCTATTTCAAAAATAAGCACGATTTTCCCTTAGTTAAAAAGGGCTAATTGACCTCATACTAAGATTTTCCCTCAATTGAATGCGATGACATGACGCAAAAGAATCCTAAATCAAATTCTACCGAACAGGGGAGGGGGAGGGGGGAAGCGGAAGGGATGCGGAACGGGATGCGGAACGGAATGACGAAGGGAGGGGTTGGAGGGCGGCGGATGGCGGGGTTATGTGGTGGACTCGGCGGTGGACTCGGCGGTGGACGCGGCAGTGGAGGAGTCGGGTGCGGTGCCGGCTGTTGCGTGTCGGATGGCGATAGGCGGGCCGGCAGAGTAAGACGCGCGGTGTGTAATGCGCGGCGGGGCGGGGGCTTGATCGGTTGCGGACGGAATGATGCGCGGTGTCGTATCTTACACGTGCATATAGCTCCACCGGTAATTATCACCGCCGTCGCTCCTCCCACAGTAAACACGACCAAGGTCTTGAGTCTCTCCTACACGCGGTGGTGGGGCGGGGGCGCGGTGGGGCGGGGGCGGGGGCGCGGTGGGGCGGGGGCGGCGAGGCGCTGTTGGCGGGGGCGGCATCGGTTGCGGGCGGCATCGGTTGCGGACGGCATCTCGCTCCGCCACGGTTGCAGACGGGACGGCATCACCCTCCGTCGCTCTCGCTCCGCACGGTTGCAGACGGGACGGCATCACCCTCCGTCGCTCTCGCTCCGCACGGTTGCAGACGGGACGGCATCTCCCTCCGTCGCTCTCCGCACGGTTGCAGACGGGACGGCATCAACCCTCCGTCGCTCCGTCGCTCCGTCGCTCCGCACGGTTGCAAACGGCAGGTCGTCGCTTCGCGCGAGACGGGCATCGGCACTGCCGGGGGCGTCCGAGCGCGGGCAAAGACAGAAAGGTTTTTCCTTTTTTTTTATTTATACAGTACACACGCACCGCCGCGCGCCGGCAGGGCGCGGGCGGAGCATTATCTCTAGATGAAAAGAAATAAATTCACAGTGCTCCCCGCGCGACCTCCGGCATCACCTTGCCCATGAGCACGGTCATCGCGCGGCCCGCGGCGACGTTGACAAACACCTCGCCCCTCTCCCGCACGCGCCCGACCGCCGCGTCCACGCCCTCGCTCGACACCCTGCGCACGCTTTCCTCCGCGGTGCGCCTGGCCACGGCGAGGCCCACCCTTCTCGCGAGCATGCCCATGCCGTCCCCCAGCGCGGCCTCGCTCCCCGCGGCCTCGCCCCTCCCTCCGCCGTTGTCCGCCTCCTCGCCGCCCGCCGCCGCGCCGCGCAGCCTCCA